TTGTAATTTTCAGTGAAAAATTGCAAAGAAAAATGCACAAATTACACATTGACAATGAGAAAAGCAAAAAAGATGTCATTTCATGCTTAAGTACCCTACTTGCCCTTTTTATTTTAATAAAAAATAATATAACGTCATTGAACGCGGCCATTTTTCCATGCATCGTGTTCTATGAGGATGCAGCAGTTGGCACGTATAGCTATGCAAGTATGTAAGTATCTCGTTCTAACAAGAGATATGCTGAAGATTCTGATGAGGTAATAAATATTTTGTGGTTATATTATAATGTTATGCTACCACAATAAAGTTCACGCTGTTTTCTTCTTCTTCTTTTTTAATTCGTGGCCTATTTGCATTTACACAATTCCACCAATGTCACGTTTGTGGTATTTACACGTATAGAAACAATAATAAAATATGTAAATTTTCTGATTACGTCTATCTGATGACATTGTTAAAGATAATACAAATAGAATGTATATAGAAAACAAAGATATTTATAAATTAAGACTATTATTGATTGCAAGGAATTTAGATAAAATTTTGAATGGGCTGGATTTCTCCATACTCAAGATACACGCTGTTTTAAACAATAATGTTTGGGTATGATTTGTCTAATAATAAAACGTCATTGCAATGATAAACAGAGACAGACAGCAGAACAATCAAACATTTCAAAGTCATATAAAATTCAAATGAAAAATATTAAAATACACTTGGGTATCTAAAAGAGGCTGGCAAAGTTGTCGTTAACACGCATATTATTGAAAAATAATAAGCACGTGTTTTTTGCGTAACGTATAAATAAAGACATTTTTAGGTCTTCGGATTTTTTTGTATTCTCCACTCCTCAAGTTTAATGCATATTATCTAAGTCATTTCTAGCTTGAAACAAGAAAATACATATCTGATGGGCTCAATAGAATATCTATTTTTACCTAGGCATAAATTAAAGGTATACAGTAATAATAATATTAGGTACCTAATATAATCTTCGACCAGTAATCCCACAGAATATTCGGTAATCGGCTTGAAGCCGAATATACTATTAGGTACAAGATTAACATTAAATATTAAATAAATCAAAATCAGTATCAAATTCATCAATTTATTTCATTAAAAATATAAGAAATTGAAGAACAAAGAAGTCACTTAATTATAGTAAACAAAAAAGTGATGAAAAAAATACTTTGAGTGGCTTAAACACATTAAATGTTGAAAATATAAAAAAGTAGCATATCGAATGATACGGACAAATCAATTTGCTTTTCATAAATACAATAGTGTATAGTGTTAACTTTGCATTTACAATGCTCACTTTTTAAGTATTTTTTTTTTATATTTATATCTTTTATTCGTTTTAAAATTACAACATTTTACTGATAATAATTTTTATTTATAGCTTTCAAAACAATTTTCATAAATTCAAATTATTAAAAATAAAGAGTTGATTTTAAAGCTGTTAAAAATCATATTGGATTTTTTCAACACCTTGATGATTCTTAAGGGAATTCTTGACGATCAATTGTTTTTGAATAATCAGTCTAATTGCATATGTGTAATTAAAACGGTAAATAGATGGAACCTATGTGTTATAAGAATTAAAGTGCGAAATCGTGACTCTACAAGAAAGTAAATGCAAATTTCAAAATGGTATATTTAAAAACACATAAATCTGAAGCTTCGTGACTCTACAAGAGAGTAAATGCAAATTTCAAAATGGTATATTTAAAAACATAAATCTGAAGCTCTCAATATTTGCTATAAAACAATTCTAGTAATTTGTTTCAATACATTTTAGGTTTATGCTCGCATCTGTTAGGCCCTTGGGATCGATGCATATCTGACGAAAGACTCGTCACGTCTCTTCGACAACAGAACATCAAAACTGACATATTATATGATATGACATGGAACCATGCACATACAAGATGCGTAGTGTACTAACGCATGCATGCGTGAACCGCTTGACGAATCTTTTGGCAGATTTTCACCGACCCTTATACATTTCAATGTCTGCTACATGAGCCCTCCTGCAGCATAAGGAAACCATAGTTGCAGCGAAAAATAAAATTGTTTCTTTTAATGCATGTCATGATAAATACTTATAATACATTATCACTCAGATGCACAAAAGTCCATTAATTTGCTGTTAATTTAAAGTAGCCATTAAACCATAAAGAGTATTTGTGCAACAGAGCACATGTATACTAAAATCTAGCGTTTACCATCAAAGTCTAAATAACCACAAATCTACTTTAGCCCTTGTACATACGACCCCACCGATACCTACAACGTATAATATGAAAATCGTTTATGCGGTATTATCCGCACATATCGATACACTACTAAAAACCCTGTGCGACCCTGGAATAAAAAAAGTACTTAAGGTTTTATACTTTTTTTAGATTTACGTGACTTTTCCAATGTTGTACAAAAGGCTAAACACACTTTATTAATATTTTATGTTAATTTATTTTACGTCACAAAATGAGACTGCCTTATCTTTAGAGCAGCATTTTATAAACTAATCTGATGACCCCTTATATTTATAACTTCTTTATATTGAGGATATATAAAATAGTGAATATGAGCAACCACATCCCAGACGCGGGTCTGATGGGACAATGTAAATAAATATTTGATATACAATAAATGTCCGCAGTATTTTACAACAATAAATAAGTGCCACCAATAATTGCATACTTGATACCATTAAAATCCATTTACAATTGGTCAATAGCCGAGACAATCCAATAAGCCAGTCAAGCATCGGCTTTGTGTACAAACTTGAAACAAACTTCAAACGAAACATCCTTTACTACAATTACAAAAAATATATATAAAAAAAAAAATGTATTTGTAATAGAAAAATAAATTGTCCGAAACTATTTTTACTTTACGGGCCTATTGGCTCATGAACTGGAAAGGGTTAGGAAAAGCTGCTTTACTCGTTTGCCCACAGCCTAACCACCGTGACGCGACGACGCCGTCAAATTTTCAAACCCAAAAAGCCTTTAATTAGTTTTCACAAATTAGGGGCCAGCCTTAATAACTTTTGAAAACTTACGAGATCATTAATTTTGTTCATAATAAAAAAGGATTTGTTTCAACTTACATTATATTTGAAAAAAAACTTCTACATTACTTCCTTCCTCTACATTATTTACTTAACATTGGCCAAATTCATCGACTTCTCTCGATCAGCCGGCATCTCAACTTTCGTTCTTCTTCACTCTTCTCTTACGCATATCTCTTTCACACAGTCTGTTCACTATACATATTTTCTTCAGTATTCCTCTCCACACAATTTCTCTATATCCATGTCAATCCATTCTGTTAGATTAAAATTATTTCTTCTCATCACATATGCCATAGTTTCTCAATCTTTCTGTCGATAGTGCTACTTAAGTATAAATTATGCTAGACATTTCACATGTTTGCTTAACATTTTGTAAGTTCATCCATTAATTACGTTACACGTTAAAGGGAGCAAAGTGTGACATTTTGTGACAAGGAGGGGAGGTTATAAATTTTGTAACGTCACATTTCAAAATTTAACATAAATCACTTCAAACTGAATGGAAATTTAACTAATTATAAAAATATTGCTTTTATTAAATACTATACTAGTTAGTATATATTTGATGAATTTTGCATTCACAATGTTATATTGATATTTATCATAAAGAAAAATGCTTAGCAAATATATATAGCAAATAAATATATAATAAATAATGGTACGGAAACCTCGAGCGCGAGCCCCGACTCGCACTTGACCGGTTTTCATTTAGACAATTCAATCTTGTCAATTATCCAAAATATAGATAACAACATTAGGGAGCTTCACAAACGTGACAAAGACGGGGGTAAAAAAAAGTGTGACGTAATTCCTGGGTATTATTATTATTCATGAATATGATTAAATTTCTGAAGAGCTCGATAGCACAGTGGTAGTGCGTTCAGTCTGCGACACGGTAGTTAAGCAACTTTCGCAATCAATAAATTATCTCTCCTTCGTACTTCAGCCGGCAAATTATGCCCGGTTACATCTGCAGTAGAATCCACCCACCGGTCATGGCTCGTTCTCCTCGTTCGACCTACGTCTATTAATGCGTCATCTAAGTCACAGATCGCACAGGGTTATAGTTATAACTTTCATAAAATAAATATCAAGTCACATATTTGCCAGAACAGAAAAAAAATATATCAAAACTGCACATAACACAAAAACTAAAATCAACTCCGCTTCATCACAAAAGAGATGAGAACATGTAGTTAAAAAAAAAAAGAAAACAAAAAAATTAAACTTATCTTTAGTGGCTCGAATGACAAAATAAAAAATTCTCAACTTAAATTCATAAATACTTCGACTGACGGCCATATTTACAAAAAGAAACTTCATTTATGCGACTCGTTTTTTTTTATTATTATTATTTTAAATACCTGCCTCATATTATGCTTGTGATGTTTTAACAAACCTACTTTCAATAATTTTGAAAATAAATCTTTTACCAATAAATTATCTTGATAGACTTTCTATGTCATGCAAAATATAATTAATAAGTTCAAAATTTGAAAAGTGAATTAGGCATTATCCTAATTGGCTAAGATCGTACGAACAACCAACGGGACTTCATCACGAGACTTTCTAGTTGTTTCTAGTAGTTTAACTACTAGACTAACTGTTCGGAATTAATAATATGTCACTGTCATCAAACAGATTTTAAGCCTTAATCTACCGAATTTGGTCAGCAATTTCGCTAATTATGACAATACATCAAACGGTGACTGTTCTCTATGAAAACAGTCACTCTATGATAATGTTTACGACCCCAAAAAATCGTGATTGCATACGAGTAAACCAATATTATTCTCTAGACATTGCTTTTTATTATATTACAAAAACTCTTAATCATACGTACTATTATTTTTGTGAATCATAAAGATCTCGTAGGACATATCACTATTTCAAATATAGTTAACAACATATCAGTTTTGTTTTTGGCATACGACATTGCATCACACATGATATAACAAATCCCGTCAACATGGTATAAAAACGTTGAGCGATGTTCGCCGTCAACATTATTTACAAGGGCGTAAGCACCGAGGGATTTGAACGAGTCAAATGACGTCACACGCCTGGATAGAACACTCGTCGATCGCAGCGACATCTACCAATACGGCGTCGGCCCACTCCTGCATCTTTGGTTTTTGAACCTCTCGTCGAAGCCCGGGGTCCAATGTGGGTTCCTACTTCTGGTAATAAAACGATATTTTTTAAACATTATACACTAGTGGTAAAAATTGATATTTTCTTTGAAAGATATTGAACAGGGGCTCAATTCTGCTTAAAGTAATAATGACATCCCAATTAATTGCAGTTTGCACGTACTATAAGTTTACACGAGCGGGCTCCAATATTATAAGTGCAATGACATTAAACCTTGCTCACTCAACTCCGACCGTCAGTTGGAGCAGTTTCTGAGATCCATGAGATATAGGTATATAGCTCGTACAAAAGTATTAGAATGTAATAAAGTAATATTTCTGCCACAAACAAATAACTTTCTACCTTTAGATCGCACTCTACGCTGTCAGGTAGTTCCATGCTCTTTTCTATTCAGATGTTGATGCCTCTTTACTCGAGGGGCCATTACTTAGAATGATTAACAAACGCAAGTGCTAATTTTAAAGGCATTTACACATTAACATGTCTTCTAACAACACAAATGTCAACGATTTTGCCCAATTCAAATTATGCGATAATTTGAAATATTGTGGTAAATTAACGTGCTGCTGTGTATACTTCAAAAATTATCTATAAACGTTTTAACAGCACAACCGGCGGCCGTATCGCTAAAGAGCAATATCTTCCAGGCAACCATAAATTCAACTGGATATTTACATTAAATAATGGGTAGTCAAGGATGACCTAGATACTGCGAATACAGATTTTCTAACAATAACGCGGAAGTACACCGACGCAATCACATGCGAATGCGAAACATTTGCGAAATCTTGTCTCACTCTATTATTCGCTCGATGAAATTGCTGCGTCCTTGTCAGTAGCAGTCAACTGCGAAAAAGGTCGATACACAGATGCACGTGTTTCGCATTCGGGGTTGCCACCAGACCCAATTTCTGATGACTATCCGAATATCATGAATTTTATTTCTCAAAAGGTGGCAACACTGTCATCATTCGCTTGGTTTCGTAGATATTTCGCATTCGTAATGGTCGGTATACTAACGGCGTAAGTAGTTAAAATTATAAAAAGATTAAAAACATACCTAGATCGAGGCGTGCCTTTACCAGGCAGGTAATTAGGGTAAGCTACCCTGTTGGCGCAATTTCCAGGCCTGCAGCCGTTCCTCGGTGTCGTAGGATGACTACCCCCCATAGTGGGCGAAGGGAAATTGTCCCATGGATCTGTTACCATGCAGCTACCGCAACTCCATGCAAAATCACCTGGTCGATCATTCAATTTTCTTTTTATTAATCCTTATCGATTATTATTAGTCTTTATTAATTAGCCGTAGCCGAGTGGTTTCAAGGTGTCGCCATCTCTGAGGTCCCGGGTTCGATTCCCGGTCGGGTTAATGTAGAAAATGAACTTTTCTATATTGTCTCGGGTCTGGGTGTTGTGTGATCTTCGTTGTCTCAGATACTCCATAATACGGGGGCTTTAGCTACTCATCTTGGAATCTGAGCAATGTATGTGATGTTGTTAAATATTTATTTATTTAATTATTAAAAAAACTGATCTCCAAGAGGCAGTCGCGTTTCTCAAGGAATTTTCAGTTCGTTTCGCTCTTAATGAGGAGTGAGCATAGTTTCCTCAATTTTATAATAATCCAGCTAACAAGAGGAATATGTATTTTTTAAAAGATTGATGTACATGAGCTAATTATAACAATGACACTATAACCAATTAAAATCCTAAAGCGACCCTACCAGGATGCAACACTTTATGAATATAAAAGTTGTGTATTTATATTAATACAAAATCGTTGTCATTTCGTTACTCACTCTTTACGCAAGACTCATTTGTTTATAGACAAAACATAATTTATATCTGAAATTTTACATTACAGGCAAATGCTCAAATTAAGAAGACGAGTATTGTAATGCTCAAAATCAAATCTAAAAAGTTACATTAAAGGCAAATGCTCGTAATGATAGAGCCCCCTCAGATCAGTTAAATTAAAACAATATGTCATGAATATTATTTATTTTTACATATCTCTATCATTTTGGCCTGAATTGGAAGAATACTTTTGCATCGTTCGTTCAAATTTACCTTAAATACATTTTTATTTATTATTTAACAATAAACTTTCGTTTTCAAATAAATACATTGCTCGGTTAATAATATAATTGTATCAAATGAAAAATATCATACAACATTAAAACCAAAATATATTTTTAATAATAATGAATAATATCGTATATAGAATCTTAACATGTCAACTCTAGCTTATAACATAGTAAATAATTAAAACCACCACAAGTGTTTACCGCGATTAAAGCTAAAATTCATAAATGTTTACAATTCATTACTAAGCATTACGAATTAAGAAATCACCAATCGATTTATTAAATATATATTACTTTTTTTCAAATAAATAATCCTAAAGTATTCTTAAAAAAAATTATAAATCTTATATGAGTAAATAAATAATTTAAGAATTTTGTTAAATATATGTCGTAGCATTAAGATAAATACAATTTCCTATTTTAATTTATGTCTCGAATTATTTCATTTACTTAAAAATGCAATTATTAATGTTAGATAAATGTAAATACAAAAGGCATTAGTTTTATCACATCCTAAACAAGTTTACGATTTTTATCAAAATGATGGATTTGTTCAGGATTATTATGAAATTAAATTATAATCAAATCCTGTCTATCATAATTCTTCGACATATACAAAACACCCTTAAATCACCATAGAGTAGACTGGCACTGAATATTAAATTCGGCCACACGCCGAAAACTGAATATTTTGCATTAATTTGGTTTGATTTGTATTAACCAAAATCGCGATCATATACGCTGCTGCTTATAAATGACGACAAAGTGGCAAATCATATAATAATAATAATATGGCCAACCTGAAGCGCTATTGTTCTCGATTCAAGTATAACGCCATCGAGCGATCCACCAATAGGAGAGAGACATACACCATGCGTTATATTTTACTCCTTATGGTTATTGAAACGGGGCCAATTACAAAGGTTATCGTCAAAAAAGCTTCACCACGTCCGAGAAAATTGTAATTTACTGTACTTCACGACAAGTTCAATTTGGAAATAACATAAAAGTTTTTTTGTATATTTCTAGAATGCGCAAGTTGATAATGTACAGTCAACGTACATCAGGTTACTGCAAAAGACCAAATTTTACAATCGATTTTAAAACTTATTCTGCAAATAAAAACTGCTCAAAATTGATTGCAGAGTTTTGTAGCCTTTTTAGGTAACTGCATATGCTGATGTTTGTACACATGAACTTTTTTATATCTCCAATAAAATGGCTACAAGAAAACATCAAACTCGAGTATTCCACATAATAAATATTCGGCAGGACCTAACGATCTATGTTCAGCAGTGGGCGTCCATCGTACGGCTGCTGATGACGATTCGGCACTCAGATGAACAAGATAAAATTAGCCGACTACGAATACCGAATAACAGCCGAACATTCGATGCAAGTCTACTTTATAACACAATAAAATCCTACTGATTTGTAAAATAAGAATTAATTTTAACGACTTACTAAATTACATGAATACACAATATTAGAATATCATAAGGCCGAGTACAACCTAGTAATATAAATAAATATATATTTCAAAACTTACCTAATTGTATATCGAAATAAATAAGATCAAATCTTTTTTAATAAGTTAAATTTAACAAACATGACAAAAAATAACACTTTAATGTCTTATTAACGATGGTTTAAAGCATTTTTAAAATGTAATAATCAAAAGGGAAAACTGGAAATCATATTCTAATCAAAATTCTAAATATACGCACAATGTCAAAGTATGATTGAATAAAATAGTTTTTTAAATGTAAAATCCCACAATTCTCAATACCGTTGCCTTTTTTTAAAGCTTAAATATTTTTTTAAGTCCACATCTGACGGAAGATGCGCCTTGTATCATCCCTCGCGGTACGTCGACAACTATACGATATGACATTCAACCTTGCACGCTCGACGGATGAGCCGTTGCGTTTGAACTAACGCATGCTTCCGTGAGACACTTGACGGACCTTTCGTCAGATTTGCACAAACCCATACTCAGACCTAAAACGCATTTCATGTCACATTACTATACACAATAATTTATCATTTTATTTATTTAAATAATTATTATAACCCAATATTAATCCAATCAATAAGTTTACAATATTATACCGCATCAACAATATTTCCATAAGGGTGTTTACATCACTAAGATATTATAATTTATTTAGGCACAATTCACATTTCGCGACTAGTTACTAGCAATCTACACTCCCGTATCCAGTGAACATATCCACATTCTACTAACAAATAGTATTAACAATTATTCTGTTCGTTCAATAAATTAAAATATACAATTCTCTATCTCTTTTCTTCCACTGTCTCATTTTGTCCATGCGATACAAATCTTGAATAAATAAACACATAATAAACTCATACTTTTTCTTAAAAAAAAGACAAATTTCATGAAATTTATAGCTATTTTATACAATAATAAAAGAAAGAGACAAAGTTCACTTTTGTGAAAAAACCTTACAATGACGATAAACAAAGTAATTAAATACCATAAAATCCATGCCTCATTTGCTCATAATGACGCCACTAAAAACATAATAAAGTAGATATTTTCACTGGATTTTAAACCTATCATTAATACATCTAAGATTGCATATTCATTAATTTTTAATTAAACCATTGAAATATTATCTTAACGTAACAAGGGACAAGGACATTGCAATGGATATCAAGTTATTAAAACGTCCAAACATAAACAAAATTAAAATAAAACAAAAACTCTGTTCTAATTTCCGAATATACTCGCTATTTGGGTAATAAAGAGGGAAATACGACTGCCTAAGCAGACACGAGAGGGAGTGAGAATCGCATGAAGATCTATCTGTGACGACGGTTATTACAAACAGTCTAATTATTCTGCTATGGTCACCTTCCGCGACAAACAGAGAAAGACAGATAACGTGCCAATCTCCCATCTCTTTCTGACCGATGAACAGTTGAACTAAGCATGCAGTTTCGATAAATAACAATCGCAAAGTCCACTTATTTCGAACCGAGGAACAGTTAAGAGACCTGGGCACGCAGTCTCGACATTCGCAACATTAATACCGATCGCACTTAACGAACTGTCAAATTGATCACTAGGAAACTAACGATTATCTACGTAAATAACTAGACAGTTGAATATCGAGCTATCTCTTAGTTAAAGTATACTTTTCTTTTACTCAACAATAAAAGCTACCATCAATTTGTAGAAACTTATAATCATCGTTATAGTACAAATTCGGTTAGAAAACTGTCGAGTGCGACTTCTCTGTTCTGTCTATACCTCTAAGAACCATGTCGAACCATCAGAATATTTCGCGCTATCTAGCGATCTATGCGCTTAAACCTCGCAGAATGAAACAGAGATAGAAACCTAACGCGTTGTTTTTACAACTTATAGTTATTAAACCAAGACTGATAATATTCACAATATATCGATGATTTCACATTATAAATTGAATAATATTGTAAAGGCACTGAAATGAATATCAACAACTAATCCTACTTGATATCCACTGCAAGTAAGAATTTTTGTATACAAAGGGAAAGGTTAGGTGTTAATAAAGGTTATGTGTTAACATTTAATAGACTTCGAATAAACCACGAAACATTCAAATCACCGCTGTATAATATTGTCAATGTGACAACTCGTATCGTAAAGTGGATAATTAATATTATTTTACAAATTATTTAAATAAAATTATTAAATAATAGTATAATTGTATACAGGACAGGGCGAAATACGGCATAAGTTTGATATGAGTTGTGTGTCACCTCTAGGTATCTATATTTGCAAATAAATAATTTGATTTGATTGAGGAATGAATTAATATATAAAAGTTACTTTTAATTAAAATAAAGGTATAGGAGTCTGGAACATACAGCCATGGACCAAGGATTTATATTTGTTTATATTTAATCAAATTATTTGAACGAAAACTCCCTAGGAACAATAAAAACAAAAAACTCATAAAAATACGAAAAGAGGTGAAATTACAAAATAAAATCTCTAATGTCATCATTAATATTTCCGCCTTTACGATTTGAGTTTTACAATTATGAATCTAGCAGCGATACACAACAGCATTGTTACTATAAATACATTAACACAAACAATACACAAGTATTAAAGATTTTCTTGGATCATATTA